CTGCCAACTAAAATTTCAGATTTTCATAGACAACGGAAAATTGAAACAATCGTGAACGGTTAATAAATTATTACATTATTATTCATTTCAGAACGCCAGAAACGACTAAATCTATTATATTTATTTTTTGAGCTATGTAATTGTGGACCCCATTTTTCCAATTTAAAATCGTCTTAGAAGTGTCACGTAAAATGATTAATTTTCCATGAAATGTCGGTAATGTCGCTCTAAATATTAACCTAATTCGTCTACAAGCTCAAATTCTGAGTCATCTGACTCCGGCAAATTTATAACAGCGGGTGGAATATTTTCCACAGACGATGTTCCCTTTAACTTCTCGGAGACCTCGTGAATTTGTTTTTCACAGTGCAAAACATTTTTTCTTCAAATGCTTGAGGTGCACTGCAGTGTGGCCTTCAGTCATAAATTGCGAACTATCTTGTGATGGTATGTTTATTATATAAGCCTTTGCACTTCACTTTTATGAACACCGAGAGATAGATCAATAATAAAAAATAACACTGTTTACAACAAAATAGATAAAATCGAGGGAAGTAATGAATTGCTAGAGAGTTATCTCTTTAAAAGAGTTACAAAGGTGTTTTGTTTTAATTAGTTTTTCAAGCACAGCATTTTGAACGTTACGTATGGAACAAAAGTTTTTGTAAAAAAAGTAAAATTGCAATGTGAAATTTATATTTAATTTCATGAAAACTGTATGTATAACAACAATGACACAAAAGGCTAAATTAAAAATGAAAAGTTAATTAGTTAATTTTTAAATAACTGATTGGGGTCCATAATCTTCTATCGTAAATTTCTTCAAACATTTAAGCGTTGGCAAATGTTAAGATCCATTTCTCTTACTTTTTTCTTATTCTATAACGAACTGTTCTTCTGTTTTGGTTTCCCAACCACCGCCGTACAGTTTGCTACCAAGGATCTACCGAAATTTTACTTTACTTTAATAATTATTTATTATATCGCGTTTAGCCATGTAACTAACGCAGTTCTAATTTGCACACATTATTTGTAATTTATCTAAGCACAAATTACATGTCAACAAAAACGTCAAAGGCTACTTTATTTGGTATTATAAATAATTTTATTGTTCTCTAATTTTACATTTTTTTTTATCGAAAAACTTTTGTTCCATTGTTTTTTGGTTCCATTCTAAAGAGTTATAAGAAAACTATGTATAATCAGGGCAGTACTTTTGTATTCACTAAAATTTGATGACTTGATTATGCAAAGTAGGATTGCACAATAACAAGGTTAATGACGATTGTAAAATGACCCGTGCCGGTTAGCGTCCGGTGAAAATATAGAGGTTGCAATTGGGCGAATTGAGCCCCCAAAATAGAAATAGAAAAAATATTTACAAAGCAGCACAACATAAAATACTTTTTAAATACACATACATATGTATATATTTATTGATTTAATTATTTTTTTTTGTTAAATGTTTGAACTGAAATTTTAAAAGTACATCCTTGGCATGAGATTTTACCTGCTCTGGGTACAGTGTCTTTTAGGGTCTATTTACACATTTACTTATTAGTTATTATTACTGTTAATATTTTAGTGGATACAAAAATAACGTTCCAGTAGTACTTATATCGTGTATGAAGGTGCATACGCACTGGATGCAGAGGCAAAGCGACATCTAACATTGGCTCAAACAATTCTAAGAAGATGTTTTTGTTGGTGAACGAATGTCTCGGATTCATCTAGGTGTGTGGGTACACGAAAGAAAATTTTATAAATTCCCTGACGGATGATGTAGTGTCCACACAATCCTGACAGTAGCTTCTATTAATTTCAGGTTACCTCAGTCCTTCGGAGGATTATATCTTGGAACAAGCAGAAAGTGTATCGATAATATTTATAATCGACAAATATTTGTTATATTAAAATACTTTTGGAAAATTTGATTTATTCGAATTTACCTCACGATTGCAGTTCAGCGTCATGATCCGTCATAATCCACCATTAATGTCCTTTTGACAAACACCTTTCTATGTTTTGTTGGCAAACGGCAACGCTCACTTTGATATGACAAGTCATTGGTATCAATGCACTGCTTCCTAACCTTCACAACCTTCATAACCTTCAACTCACCAGTAAGCATATTTTTTGCATGAAGTATTTATACAAATCACTCTTTTATTTATATGCCCAGTGATAGTTAGTAGGAGTAGTATTTAAAGTTATGTACAAAAACTTTCCTCGATTCTCCAACACAACAAATATTTTTCATGAGATTTTTCGTGGCGAATCTGTAGGTTTGACGGCCGAGCGCGATAGACCGGTAATTACAGATGAGCCACAGTCATTTTTCTCCGAATATTTATTTCTATCACTCATGCTATTTTTTCTTCAACGTGAAACTGAATCCAATTTATTGGACATGAAAATGTTGAAATATAAAAAATTGTGACAAAAATCAATTAGAGCTGATTCTTAAAGCACTAATACAATAACTAATTCTAAAGTCCAAAAAACTCAAAGACACTTTTGATTATGATCACAAACCAAATAGGTAGGTACCTACCCCTGACTTTTTCTGCCGCTGATGAGCGGAAAAAAAATACGAAAACAGCCTAAGCAGAAAAAGTGGAGTCACTACAATCTATTCTACAACCTTGTGGTTTTTTTCTTTCAATATCCATACAGTTTTTCACTTTGATCAGTTTTCAAACATCTCGTGCAGTTTAAAAAAATTGGTCTAAGGTTACTTAGTTATTTACGCTAGAACATACCCAGCTATTTCGAAAAATTATAAAATTCGTTTAAGCAAAGATAAAGAAGCATGCTATGTGTCTGTTTCAAGTGACTTTTTCCATTACAAAAACATCAACATTTTAACAAAGACAAGTATAATGCGTTTTGATAGTGTGATACTAACAATAACGGTACTGTATCCCTAAATTTTGAGGAACATTAAGTAAGCCATTCTTGCTTTGATCAATAAAATAAATTGCCCCATTCATTAATTTTTTTAATCAACCTGTTTAAAATTCTAAAAAATCTGAATGCATGATAAACGAATTTTGTACATCGTTGAATTATTTGTCAAAAGTTTGAGATAAGCGTTTTACCATCTCTACGACATTCCAAATATACACATAAAATTTTTGTTACTCTAAAAAACCTCTAGTTAACTAATTGATAGCCTTTTTTTCGGGAACATAGATCCTAGAGAACTACCGCATATGGGCAGCACTGTAACATCTTCCGCCGTTTGGATTTCCTTCTATGTTTTGTTTCGTTGCTTGTGCCTTAAAATGTGGGTAAAGAAATGTTTAGAAGCCGATGGTGGGCATTTTCATTACCTGTTGTACACTTATTATCTTATTAATTAGCACTGAAAACATTAAGGAGACTATTTTTTGTTATAATACAGCTACATCTTAAAGAATTTTTAGCGTAGCTTTATCAGGCCGCCGTTTTTAATGACTGTTACCTCTAAATCCGAACGAACGAACGAACAAACGAATAAAAGCAAAAATTCTTAGGAAAATACAAACAAGAATTGAGATTATGATGAACGATAATGAAATTCTGTAATTGATTAACTGATATTTCTTGCAGTTTTCTAAGAGGACATCTGCATTCAACAATCTATGTTCTTTAAAATTTGCTTCTTAATTTTTGACCAGTTTTTTTTTATCACAATTATATCCTTTACCATTCGTTACGATTTTAATAATGTCATACTCCGCTATCATTTGTACTTTCCGATCAATTTTAATCCTTCGTGTTCTGAAACAACAATAACTAAAATAAGTAGATAACACTTATCGTTATAAACTTGTGTTGGTAGTTTATATAAATTTAACAGACGTAAATAAAAAGCACTCGTACTTATTTATTTGTAGGTATCTCTCAATATCAATGCAAAATCTCAACATAACGCGGGTAACAGTCCCGTCGAATTCGAGTACTCATGTAATTGTAACAATCAAAAGCCATCGAAAATAACTTCAAAGTTTATTTTCAAATATACAGAAGTTTTGCGCTGAAGTTTCGAAAATGTTTGCCTGGATAACTTTTACTCCAAGGTTTCCCAAACAGTGTTACTTGAGACACAGTCGAGTATTTTAATATTTTATGTGCTTCCTCGGAGCAAAAGCAACACTAAAGATAATCACAAATATAATGTTTTAAGGTGGGTACTCGGTTGCGCACGAATGCCCCAAACCGACACCGTACACTGTGTTCCGCCGAACTTGACGAAGTGTTTTAATTTTTTATGTCTATAACTGTAGGAAAATTAGTGAAATAGTCGCAGAATTAACGTAAAGGTGAGTGAATATTCTCTTGCGCATGAACACACTGAATGTCCTCAACTAACTAGGGCGCATTATGCTAAAAGCATTCATCCAAAGTCGATAAATTTGACATAAATTAGAATTACATCTGTATTGTTAGCCATACACTCGTAGTCAGGACGGCCAACACGAACATACATGCATTCGTGTTTTGGGTGTTGATCGAAAATGGGAACAAACCGTGCACGAGCAAACAACACGCGCACTGTATTTTGGTTTGTGAATGCGCATTTGATAGGTTCTGTGCAGAACGTTTAGCGTGTTCGTGCGCGAATATGTAACATCCAACTATTTACAACGATTTGAAATGAAAAACCACCAAAACCAACTCAAAAGTGGACATTTTAAATTAGACCGCATATATATATAGTATACCTTTTTTAAAACTGGCTATGGGAATTCACACACTGAAAAAAGTCGTCGTGAATTCACAAATCTAATACATCATTTTTCAGGTGAATTTTACAAGAAATCTAATGCGATATTTAATTTCTTTGTAATATTACAAAAAACGCAGAACTTTTGCCGTACTTACGGTAAATTTCCTTTTGATAAGGTAATTTTAATTAATTTATGTACAATTGATCAGTAAATATACAATAAAGAATGTAATATTTCCATCAAATTGGTAAATTTACCTTGGCCAGTTGTGAATAAAGAGCAACGTTGTGAATTCGCATCGAAACCAGTATATTTACAACGTGTATGTAATTTTTTCTGCTTGCGTGCGCATATTCGGTTAAAGTGACGCATTATTACTTGTGTTGTCTGGACAAACGTGTGGTCTCCTCGTGTACAGGTAAGTCTAAACTTCATACCCGCCATACTGATTTGCATTATTTGTAATTGAAGATTTGAAGATGTTTACTTGTGATATTTGTAAAATGAATCTTAAATCGATAGAGAAATATCAAATACATCAAAAGTTTCATCGCAACATGACTGGAGTTAGATTTAAATGCCTACAGATTGGTTGCACTTTAAATTTTAAGTCATATAATCGTTTTAAATTTCATGTATACAGAAAACATAATTATCCTAGAAATCAACAAAAACGTTTAACTTCTCAAATATCTTATAGCTGTAATGTGATCAAATGTGATTACAAAAACGATGTTAAAAAAGAATTTATTGCTCATGTAAATAAGCACATTGAAAGAGGGGTTACAATAAAATGTCCACTGTCAAGCGAATGTACTTCTGTATTTTCCAGAGTTACGATTTTCAAGCAACATATCTTTAGGAAACATTTTTTGAAGTCATCCCTGAAAAACGAATGTGAATATGAAGACACCCAGTCAGATATTAATTTGCCATCAACTAGTAAAAGTATAACGACAAATATAGAGTATGTTGAAGAAAAAACACATGATAGCGATGATTTGTCAGAATGTTTTACTGAAAATTTGGAAGAGGTCAGTTTAAAATTACTCAGTTCATTGTACTTAACATTAGAATCAAAATTTTTTCTGTCAAATAAATCTTTACAATTATTATTAATCAACGGACTCTCTGATGTTAACGATCTAAACACAAATTTAATCATTAAAAATTTACAAGCTTCTAACTTCGAAGTTGAGAAAAAAATTATTGAAAATAATTTGTTTAACATAGCTCACAATTAATTCTAAAGGCGGTAAGCTAAGAAGTAAGTTTTGTAGAAACAAGTATTATAAGAAATATTTTAATTACGTAAGTCCTGTGTGCGTTGAATTAAATCAAAATTCGAAATATTTTTATGTGCCCATAATAGAAACAATCACAGAATTAATGAAAACAGAATCGTTTTATAAACAGTTTCATAATAAAAAAAAACGTTTCACTAAATACTGATGTTTTTTCAGATATTCAGGATGGAAGTTGCTTCAGAAATAATATTTTTTTTAAAGAAAATGTTGAAGCCGTTCAAATTATTTTATATCAGGATACTTTTGAAATATGTAATCCTTTAGGTGCTTCCAAAAAAAAACATAAAATTATAGGCCTTTATGCTATATTTACAAATCTCCCTACTTGGCACCGATCTCAAGTTGAACATATTCAACTACTTGCATTAATTTATGAAAAAGATGTAAAACAATTTGGATTTGCAATGGTTTTAAAAAATCTACTTCAGGACTTGAAAAAACTTGAAGAAGGTGTTAATATCCAGATATCATGCTCTGAAGTTAAATGTTTAAAAGGAGCACTGGTAGCTGTAGTTGGTGATAATCTTGGCAGTCACCAAATTGGTGGCTACAATGAAAACTTTAGTTTATCTGGATTTTTTTGTAGATATTGTTATATTAACAAAGTAAACAAAAATGACGGTTTAACAAAAATATGTGAACGTCGAACAAAAAATTCCTATATTTACGATGTTAATATGAGTTTAGCAACTAATGGATCTTATAGAGGTGTAAAATCTGATTCTGTTTTTAATACATTAAGCTTTTTTCATGTCGCTAATCCTGGTTTACCACCATGTATTGCACATGATCTTTTCGAAGGAGTTGTACAATCCGATTTAATATTAACTCTTGATCAGTTGGTTAATGCTAAAGAAATATGTTTCCAAGAATTAAATTCTACATTAAAAGTCTTAAAATTTGAAGGAGAAAAAAAAGTCGATATACCACTGCTAAAAAAATCCGAGAGACTTTCAGGTACAGCTCATCAAAATATGTGGTTAATAATAATATTGCCGTTTGCACTAGAAAATAAAACATTAACAAATAATAAAGCATGGAATGCTATTTTAATTCTTAGGAAAATAGTTCTGTTTTTATTAAGTTACAAAGTCTCAGTGGGTCAGATAGCTTATTTAAAAGAGTTAATTATTTACATAAACGCAAAGAAGTACTACCACAAGAATCTTTAAAACCAAAACATCATTATTTATTGCATTATCCACAACTGATACTACAATTTGGACCATTGAGATATCTATGGACCATGAGGTTTGAAAGTAAGCATCAGTACTTTAAACGAATTGTCAAACATTCAACGAATTATAAAAATGTTTTATATTCTCTTTCTCATAAACACCAATTGTTACAGGCTCTGTTGTATTCACAAAATACTTTGTTCAGCACCAAAGTAATAGCAGATGAATCCCAAATCTACAATTCGAATAATTATCTGCCGACTCTATCCACTAAAATTGAAGGTGCTTTTAAAACTACAAAATGTTTTGTATCTTCAAAAGTCATATTTAGAGGAATTACTTACCAAAAACATGCCGTAGTTTGTTTTGGTGTTGACGATTATGGTGCATATAAATTATGTTCGATTCAATACATAGTTATTGATGAATTTTTTGATAACATTTGTTTCATTGGAACTACATTAAAAATAACATATGATTGTGAAATAGGTTTGTATTACAACACTGATTCTAATTTTAAAAATGAAAATTTGTCAGTTGTAAATTATGATAGCTTAATTCATCCAGAACCATTGCTCCAAAAAACCGAAAGTAACAAAAAAACTGTGTATAGTTTTAAGTCAGAACCATTCGAGAATTTGTAAGTTGTGTAAGTTTTAAGTTTTTATTTAGGAGTATTAATTTTATTTCGAAGTCTGAACATTTGTTTGTCTTTATTTTAGCATAGCAATTTTAACAGTATAATATGTTACTTAAATTTACCCATAACCATCATTGCTCAGAAAGAATACAGTAGGTAACAAAAGAACTGTAGGTAATTGTTGTAAGTATGAATCATTAGAAAATTTGTGAGTTATTCTTTAAGTGTTCCTTTATCATATTATTAGCATAATAGTTTTAACAATGTAATCAATTATTAAAATATAAAAAAAAAAATTCTAATATTTTATATTTTAATAATTTAATAATTTAATAATTTATGTTTAGCAATAAACTGGGTGTTGTGTTTTGTTTAGGATGCATTTATTCAAAGTATGGGACCAAACACGTACAAAGAAGGGACTAATCTTAATAAAAGAACCTGGAAATGTTTACGTTGATTTAATATTAAAAGGTAAGTTATAAATATTATTTTATTCTATTTTAGAACCATAATCTTATTTATAAGCACCCAAATGCGGGCTTAAATTGGCCTTTTTAGCACAAATCTGTCAAAAATTGCTAAGCAACAATTGATTGTTCATTTACACTAATCAATTAATTATTCAAACACGCTTCGATATTCAACATTTTTCTTAAGTTGGAAAAATAATATTTTATCAAATCATTACCTGACCGACTTCAAATTCTTCTAAACTTTCGTTTGAATAAACGTTTTTCGCTTCTTTAATTTACATTTTGAAAAACGAATTATCAAATAATCAACGTGGTATCCATAACAACATCAAAATAATAGCCAGCTATGTATTAAAATTCGCATCGGCACAATTCACACAGTCTTGCCGAAAATACTCAATATTTCGTTAAAAATAGTTTAGAAACTAAAATAGAATAAAACGTTGTATGTACCACGTGCATAATTGTCGATTGTGGCACTCGGGAAATTAAAAGCCCTCCTTCGTCGGGCTTTAAACATTCCCTCGTGCCACAATCTCCCTGATTATGCCCTTAATACATAAATAACTATTATATTCAGACATCATTGTCTTTTTTCAGCATCTCAAAAACTTGAAATTAATGGCGCGACTGTTGTACTAGAATCAGATGGAACACCAGTTGAGGAAGAGGAAATATTAATTGCTGTAAAACATGAAACTTTAATTTTGTTAGAACCGGGTCAAGTTTGGTTGTCGTCTCAATCCCAGTGTGAAATAAGTGAATCATCCAGTGGTCCCAATAATCATTCTTTCATGTCACTGACTTCAACAGAGACTATTGCTTCCACTAAAAGTAACGAATGTATCAGTGGTGCAACGGAATTTTTGAATAATGACTCTTCTTCTTTGGATTCCACCATACAAGCATCTAATTGCAATTTAGAATTTTCCTGGACCAATTTTGTAATACCTTGGGAGAAAATTCCACAAGATATGCTCCAATGTTGTGCCCAAGGCAAACGGGACAAATATGCTATTACTGAAATTGTCCACATTGTTGTAAATGAAATGAAACAAATCAGTGAATCGATTCCGTCAAAAGCTTTTAAAATCGTTTCTTTTAAAATGGTCGATAAATATCCCGCAACCTTTAGAGATTACGACGATGATGGTGTGGTTCTGGGAGATGGTACTGCTAGTTTAAAAACAAAATTGCAAGAACGGTACCATTACCTAAAAAGGCCGCATAAACGGCCAGTATCCACATCACCTGAAACACCACTACATCTTGCCAAAATTAAGAAAAACGCAACGGCAGGATGCGCCCAATGGGCACCACCTTATCAAAAAGCTGGCGCTGCAGCTAAAAACAAATTAAATACCTTCCTAGATGATGCTTCAGACGAGTTTTTCCACCTTTTGGAAGAAACTTTTGCAGAACAAAGGGCGTTTATCAACAGTGTCGACCCTCCAAGTATCACTAACATAAAAGACCAATGGCCCGTCCTTTTTAAAGTAGAAGCCATAAAATGGCATTTTAACAAAGTTACGAACGGAAACATAAGCAATCTTACAACGAATTTACAATTAAAAGCAGAAAAAATTGTAAATTTTGGCTTACAACATAAAATTATCATCAGCAAAGACGTAAGACGGGATTCGGCAGAAATAATTGCTTTAGAAGTGTTTGCAAGATATTTCCAGGAAAATATCTATGGGGCCTTTTACCTCAAATTTCAGGTATACAATGTCTTTGTCAGCGATTAATTATTGTTTATTACCGTCTTCTTTAATATTTTAGGATGAAACTATGATTGAAATTACACAAAACGAACCGTGCATTATCAACTGTAAGCGTAAAAAAAATTCTGCAATCTGATACTTTTTACATACGAGTTTCAATTTTAGGTACTGTCGAAAATCAGTTTTATATATATATGGAAAAAGAAAGGGTGGTACAGTGCAAAAGCTTTTTTCAAGCTTTAGAATGTTGCTTTTCTTTGTACTTTATATTTAATTTACACTACCCGAAGGAGACGTCCACATTTCTCGAAATGATTCAGAGATATTTTTTAAAAATCCATCCCGACAGTGGAAGCAAATCGCGCAAGTTATCAGCCTCCAAAAAAAACGTGCTCGGTCTCATGAGGAAGTTAAGAGACATTTACACAGTTAGATATAAGTTACTTATAGGTTAGTTAAGTTTAGTTAAGTTTAGATATAGGTATGTTTTCTATTAATGTTTTTTTATTTTGATATTTTTTCATATTTACAATAAATGTATATACAATTTTTTGTGCTTTTTTACACTAAACAAGAATAAAAATAATAATAATAATAATAATAACAATAACATATGGTAAATATACAAAACAACCTAAATTTTACTGTTTTTATTGTAAAAATACATTACAGACAGAATAGTAAACTTACCAAATACAGTAATGTTCGGTTATAACGAACCTCATGGGACTGGGAAAAGTAGTTCGTTATATCCGAAGTTCGTTATAAATGATCTCAAAAAAATCATTATATACTTTCATAAACTGAACTATGTATTTCAGGATGCAACATTTAAAAGTATTACAAAAATATAAACATGTAAAGATAATAATACAGTAGTACATATAAGAAAAAAAAAACTTGATTAATAAAAAGTTGATTAAAAATAAAAGTTGTTACTTAATTATAATCTCAAATTTTACGTTGCTTCTTGTGAGAAAGATTAATTTAAGAGGGTTTTGTGATCGTTCCCTTTTTCTTCTTCTTCTTCTTCGTTATCATCATCGTCTTCAGTCTCATCTTTTGTTTGAATGTTGCATTGAACTAATTCTACAATAGCAGCATCATCCAAAATTTCAGACTTCACTAAAATATCGTCAAAAGGGACGTATTCTCCGAAGTTGATATCAAATTCATCGTCAGAATTGCTTTCGTGCTTTCTCAGCCATTCAGCCAATAGTAGCTCGTCTTCTGGGGTGGGATTTTGTTTCTATAACGATAAAATATCGGTACCGAGAAAATGTAGTCGTCTTTTTCTTTCGCATCTGAAATTTATATTTTCGTCTTTGTCATTTATCGCTTCGTATCATATCGTATCGGTAGAAACAAAATCCCACCCCTGGTTCAAATTTTTCCTCACACTGGAGAAACCCAGCATGTCGAAAACAATTAGCAATTGTTTGTTCTGATACTTTTTGTCATGCCATACTGATAAAATTGACGGGATCTAATAGATTCATACAAAAGTGTTCCTGACCATTGTCGAGATAAAGCTGACTGGTGAAAAAGTTCGTTATAAACGATTTTTTTTTCTTAAATATTAAAAATTTGGTTCGTTTTATCCGAAAGTTCGCTATAAGCGCGTTCGTTATAATAGGAAAAAAATAACACGTATCTTATGGTACTTCAATTCGTACTTTGCAAGTCGGTTCGTTATATCAGGAAATTCGCTTTAACCGGGTTCGCTATAAGTGATCATTACTGTAATTTACAAAACTGTTGTAAAATTACTTTTTATTTTTCAGTGACAAGTAATTTTTAAATTAGCATTGTAAATTTACAGCATTTATCAGGGCAACCGGTAACCAACGATAATTACTGTAAATTTACAATTTTACTTTTTTCAGTGCATGTTAAATTTTATACCCCATGTTAACTTACGCTTCAATAAAGATTGAGAGTTGAAGCGTTTTTCTTATAAAAATAAATTCTTTGCGTTTTTTTTTCTGTACTATCTGTTGTAGGCAGCCATGTAAAAACGGTTGGGACAATTAAGTATAACTGAACTTCTTTCAATTACATTATATTTTATTTTTTTAGTTTATGTTTGAATTCCATCATTCTGTTTCTTTTACTTCCCGAGCGTAAGCTAACTATAGTATTATATACAGGCTGACTGCGAAATACCTGCAAATATTTGCATGTATTTCGCAGTCAGCCTGTATAATCGAGTACATCGGCCGAATTGCATTTTCACATTTTCTCGACGTATCATGGCCTCGAGAGTTCGAAAAAAGTGGTCTCCCGTTTCCGTCTGTCTGGTGTCTGCACCCATTTTTATTAGACACGGAAACTCCGAAATCACCGTACTGATTGTTGTCAAATTTTGTATGTATATTAGGAATATCATGTAGACAGTTAAACGCTAATATCCCCACCACCAATGAGATAACGTCATCTCCAAAATTTATAACAATAAGTTTTTAAATTTCATAAAATAAGATACTCCTGCACTTGTGGTGTGTGAATCCGTATCGAATTTTCACCCTAGACATCCAGATTTAAAAAAAAATCTGTAAAACAATATTTTGCAAATTTAGCTTTGAAATTGCAAAACCGAATGCTCTGAAATCTTGTAAATATGTTAAGGTTATCGTAATCATGGTAAATCGTTAATCAAAATTTATTCGTTTATCCCCTCCCAAAACATTGATGACGTCATCAATTTTGCCGAATAAGTCCTATCCAAAATGTGCAAAATGTGAAACGTTTATACTTATGGTTTAACATTGCATTAAAAGTTTTTAAATTTCTTACACAAGGTGACTCAAAAATTAATGAATGAGTCGATTTATTTTACTGAAATCAGAAACGGCTCATTCCATTTTCCCCAAGATTTGGGAATACAATACTGTTATCAATACATCTATCCAAAGTGATATACGTGTCTTTGCAAAATGTTGATGACGTCATCACAAAATTTTGTTAAGGGAAAACTCATTTAAAAACGTACGCCCAGCACACTTTTTTACATTTATTTTAACGCTACATACATATTTTAATTTTAGTTGATAAAGGTTCTCATAAAAAATTAAATTCGCATAACCAAATTTTGTAATTTATAAAAGCTGTACTTCAGGGGCGAAGGAAGTTTTGTCGCATTTCAAGCAATTTTTTAAAAACTACAATAAAGGTGTTTAATGATTAAATTAAAGTTATACTGTCAAAAACTACACGTCAATATGATAAATCAAAACATTTTCTAATGTGTCTAAACTTTCTAACCAAAATAATTTTTGCTTTTTACAGCACAAAGTAACAATTTACTGCAAAAAGTGGGAGTAGAAATTAAAATAGAACCCAAAGGCTATTTCCGGCACAAAAATCATTGCTAGATTTTCATCCTAACAAAAGTTAACATGGGGGTGAGAACAATACAAAGACGATCAAAAGCAACCATAGACTTTTGAAATTTTCTTGTCTCTGATGGTGTGTTTTATTGCTCTTTCGGTATAATTATCATACTTTTGCGTCATTATAGTTGATAAAATCCTGTATCGCAGATTAGTTAATACTTTTATTGGAACATTACATTCTAAATTAGTGTCATTAAATTAGTTGTCAAAGACTTCGGGAAATATATTTTTTAGGAATCTCGTTAGATTTCAGATGAAAAATATTTGAGATATTTTGATGTTTGTACTGAAGTCCTCGATTGGTGAATCTATCCGAAAACATGGTTTCACACACCGCCTGCCCCGCCGACAGCCGAACATTAATTTCTCCAATCGCTTTGTCGCAAACTCTATCAATCCTATCAATTATAGTAAAGAAAATTCCGTAGCTTTGAAAACACTGTCAACAAATTACAATTTCATAAATTTTCAGCAATTTTCAGGCGGTGAATTATACTTACTCTTTGCAAGGCAACATCAGATGGCATTAAACGATGGTTGTTTTAGACAGTACGTTTAACGTATCTTTTTATCTTCAACTGTACCGAAACATACTCCACTGCATAGAGGACGTTAAAATTCACCTTCTGAGGAGAGAAAAATTTACGGAAAACTCTACAGTGAGCGGATAAAAGGCACACGAAATTGCGTTAAATGGAGATTATGTTATGTCAAACATTGTTTACTATTCATTCGCATAATATAGGCAACCAAATATACACGCTCACAACTTCCAATGATTAAATTATTTACCAAAGATAATTTTTAATGTATTAGGTGCTAATTCAAAAAGTTGCAGCTAACTTTTAGTGGTACAATGAAAACAAAATCATAACCTCAAATTGCTTCCTTTTCACGTGTGACTAGTTCACAGTCAAGTCGATCACTTATTATCTTTGCCATTTCTATTGAAACACCACCTCTTGATTTTGCTTAAAATTTAGCAATTGGTAACAGCTTTCGGTTGATTGACAACGGCTTTTAGTTAGAAAATTGTCTCAATATGAACGTTGCCAAATTTACGATTAACAAATGGTGTTTAAATAGAAATGGCAGACTATGTATGTAATCTTCAGTTCTTTGGTTATGATTTAATTATTCACGTAAAATAAAGTGTTGTTTGATATACATTCTTGAATTTTATTTTTGACCGAGTTCACCTCTTACGTACGAAATATAGTGAGGATTGCATAATATCCATACATATTTATCTGTCCTAATCTGATCTAATACTATCAAACAAGCCGAGCGAAGCTCGGTCAACCAGATATTAATAACCTAAATTTGACGTTGTGTCACATTTTCAAATATTGTTTACCATGAAAATAATTACAACTAACAACTAACGTTTATTCTAATACAACACACAATATTCGAAAATAGCCATTCTTAGATTTGGAAAAGGATTATCCCACAAATGTTGGATTAAATTAGTTCCTGAGTCAAAACCCTTACCAAGCCTGTACCCATTTCCTACTGATGCTTCCCTCGTTTTCCCGTCTTTTCTTCACACTCATAGGTAACGTCATAACAATCGACTTATATATATTAAAGAACTGTGCAACTTCCCTAGTATAAACGTTTTTCAATTACATCAAACTGGCGTATTTTATCGTTTTCAGTTAGTTTTCTTGCCGTTATAATTTATAAATGTGCCTTCTGACAAAAACATCAATTTGAGAATAAAGGCACAAATAACAACACAATAAAAATGAAAACATTTTTCTATGAGATTGCTGCGAGTACGGTTGTGCATTCGTTGCTACCATCTGTCTACTCATATTTAATATTTCACGAACTGGAGAACCGAACATGTATAAATTTTAATTCAAAACTTCCCCTGTGTTACTGCGATTGTATAAAAGTGAAAAGGAATTTAAATAGCGGCCATTAATCATTAATGCCCGTATTTTACGCAAAACGGGTTATTTTCATTTTTTAAGACACGTTCGCGAAAATTTTATAAACGGAATAACGTGAGCTCATTATGCCAATTTCGATTTTTTTGTTCCGAAACAATTAGATCATGGCGAAAAAAAAATACACAGAGTTCTTGGAAAACCCTACCAGACAGAGACGGTGAATTTCCTATCATATTCATTTAATTCATTCATT